CCCCCCCCCAATAGAATCATAAACACCAGCAGTTACAGATTGTGACTTTAATCAGTATCCTTTGAATATTATTTTTTCTGATCTACTCCATCAGTCATGGTTTTCTGAAACCTTAGCAGACAGATGATCAGGTTTGCCTTAATTAGACACAGAAAAAAAGCACATTGTCAAAGTGTGGTTTCCTGCAGAGGTGTTACTTTGAGATGAGATATTTCCTTATGTTTGGAGCACAGAATATGTCTAGAAAAAGAGCACGCAGCAATAAAGCTCATGTGCTTGGCACCTTGACAAAATTCCCTCCTGTTTTAACACATGCTCCATCCGAATACTGAAACAGAGTCCACCTGCGTGATATTGCTACAATATCAACTCCACTGACATCCTCTACCATCCGTTCCCTATAGAGCTCGACAGCGGCATTCGAAAAGTAAAAATCCAATTCATTTTCACCTCAAGAATTAGATTATGCATAAAGCTTTCAGAACAGACTCCATGTGCTCAGAGGTTGAAGAGATGCTGTTTCTGTAGAAGCCGTGTACACGTGTCAGAGTGCAATTGCATTATAGGAAACCATGGGTAATAGCCAAAGTCCTAGAGAAGAACTTCCCATAATCCACAAATTAGAAAAGTATTTGATTCTAAATATTTTGCAATTGTCCAGTTAAAATTTAGTTTTTATTCATTATTCTAAGTTTAGCGTTTCATGGTGACTTGTCATTTGATTGTCATAATCAAAGCAGTGCTTTATGGGATGCATAGTTAATTGCTTCATAAAAGACAGTTAGGTAAACAGTCTTGTCTTTTCTTTTTTTTTTAATGATGTGATTAATTTGGTAGCTGTTGATTTTGATTCATGCCTTCAGTTTTTTTATCCGAAGATGAATGCATTAGAAGCAAGGCTGCAAAAAGTGTGCTGCTACACTCTATAGAGTGAATTTGTAAAAATATCCATACTAATTTAATAAAAATATACCTTTCTCTTGGTACAGATTGGTAATAGTTCAAATGTCCATTGACATTTCTGTTGAAAATGAACCCTCATGAATAAGGTATTCTTTAATTTAAGTTTCATTTAGCTATATGCTGATGATCAATAAGCAATTTGCATAATGTTTTCCATTAACAGAGGTAATTTGCATGTAGAAGTCTTAAAGGTACAGTAGCACAATGTTACAAATGACACCGTAAACTTACACATAATCAAAAGTTGCCTTGTCTATGTAAATCTTTTTAACCAACAAGAATGTTGGTTAATATTGACTAAAGTGGCAAATCACTTGGTTTATATTTCTGATGTCAGATATGATTTGTCAGATTGCACAGTATTTTAGCGTTTAATGTGTAAAGAATAATTGTGTGCCTGGTTAGGACACTGTTTAAAGGTCAGAGCGAGGGTGAAAACAGGACTTGTTTTTGTGGCAAGAAGCCTTGAATTTCAGGGAAAAGAAGAATATGTCTCCTTTATGCAAAAATAACAGATATGAATGGGTCCTGCATTGAGGATTTGGTTACTCTTTAGTTTGGGGACCAATACTCACTATTAACTAACTATTAACTAGGGCTGTGTATCACCAGCAAAGTCACGATACGATACGTATCATGATACAGAGGCCACGATACGATACATATCACGATACATGACTGCACTGAATTTCACCTCAGCAGAATTGAGAAAAACAGCTGTTTATTAAACACTGCATACTATAGAGCCATTTCTAACTATTGGCAGAGCAGGCATCTGACCTCTGTATTATGAAGGGCCTTCATAACTGTACCACAGTACAATATAGGTAATGGCATATGTTTCATGTTTACATTGGGCACTCCCCACCAGGTACAATATTCTGATTGTTTGCATCTTGTTTTTAAGCCCATAAATAATAATGTTCTCGTTCTGATACATTTAAATTGTAATGTACTCATTCTAATATATTTAAAAAATAATTTACATTGCTGGTAGGTTATCATTGCACAAATTTAACACACTCTCTACAATAATAAATTAAATTAGAAGAGTTCTAAACTAACACTCTGTCTTCACTGTATCTAACGCACACACGCTTAAAGGCTGATTTATACTCGACGCGTCCGCAAGTTTGCTTTGAGTGCGCGCGACGTCGTTTCGCGTGGCGGTGTGAAAAAAAACATTTTTTTGTAACTTTCCGCACAGCTCTGCTTCCGAAGATGCACGAGTTCAAAGTGACTCTAGCCGAACATGCACGTCTGTGCCAGCATTTGTGTGAAACAGAAGCGGTTAGATGCTAAGTGCAGTCACACACACAGATCACGCTGCGGCCACACTCAGACATTCAGGAACAAACTTTTTAGCGCTGCCCCGCAGTTTTATCAACTAAATAGCTTAATCGCTCAAGAGCTACATTTATCTTTTTCAACAAGGAGCTGGTAACATAATTGTTTTTAAAGGGATTAAAGCCACAGCTTTACTGTTAATAGAGAAACGCGGCAAACGGTGGTAATTCATACATACACCGCCTCTGTGTGTCTCTCTCTCCCTCTCTGTGTCGTAAATGAACAGTTGATGAATTACACTTTTCTGAGAATAGACTTGAAGTGGAGATCACTAAACTGCAAGCTAACCGCTGTTTTCAGTAAGCACGCGCGTTTATCCAGTGGAGAGAGATCACGTACACAGGGTTGCCAGGTTGACAAAGATAAGTAACACACTTAGCAGATATTTCCGTATAGCGCAAGTGTGAAGCTCTGTTTTGGGGATTGCGTCTCTTAATATCAGGCAACCCCGTTGTGTTCCTCTGCGACCAGATTAAACCTTGTTGTAGCCTATATATGCTCTATTCATTCTTTTTTAGAAACCTTGCACTTTTCTTCTCAGTTTTAAACGTTGTAAAGCTTTAAACAAATTAAGTGCGGTCCACTGCTGCACACGTGCCACAATATCGATACAGGGCCAGCTGTATCGATACTCGTATCGTCAAATCTCTGACGATATATCGTCGTATCGATATTTTGAACACAGCACTACTATTAACTATGACTTTTGCCTCAATAAACTCCTAATTGGCTGCTTATTAATAGTTAGTAAGGTATTTGTTAAGTTTTGGTATGGGGTGCATTATGGGATCTAAAATATGCTCATGCAGAATAATGCATTAATATGTGCTTTATAAGTACTAATAAAGAGCCAATATGCTTGTAATATGCATGCTAATAAGCAACTAGTTAATAGTAAGAATTGGTCACTAAATTAAAGTGTTACCAAGGATTTTTCATATTTTAAACTTCATTGTTGCAACTAAACTGAAATGAATAGCTTTTGCTTACCAACTTCACATTTTGTGTCAGCATGAACTGAGCTGTGTTTTCAGCACCTGAAACATTTATATCTGTTATTTTTGTTTTTCTTCCCTGATTTCTTCGGTTGCTCTGGCAATGGTGAAGGATGGAGGGCACGACAAAACGCAGATGGTAAATAAATTCACCTTCAATAATGCTTTTGCTGTCGCCCCACAATGCACCTGTGTTAAAATGCTTTTGTCTTTAGTAATAATTCATAGTATAGTAACACTGACTCAATGAAGCTCAATCATTATAGCAGGAAAATAAATCATCTACAGACACTGTCAGAAATTAACTGTTTTTATTAAGAGCCAATATTGCCAGCTAGACTTGATTTTCAAGGGCATTTACCTTTATCAGGATATATATATATATATATATATATATATATATATGTATATGTATGTGTATGTGTATGTGTATGTGTATGTGTATATGTGTATGTATGTGTATGTGTATGTGTATGTGTATGTGTATGTGTATGTGTATGTGTATGTGTGTGTGTGTGTGTGTGTGTGTGTATAGTGACCAAATAAAAACTTAAAAAAACAAGTTATGTTAATTATGTTAAACAATTTCATAAATTTATATAAATTCTCAGTATGAACAAGCTGAAGTTAATGCACAAGATATCATAACACCAATGAACACTGCTAAAATATATATGCTAAATAAATGGCACGTACATATAGTAGATTAAAGCAAGATACTAACCTTATGAGTGTTTTATGTTCTTTTTCAGAGCTTATGTTTTTTGTCAAAAAATCACCTTATAATAGCAATTGCAGCAGCACATGTAGGCTATTTTTGTCACTTGAGGTGTCATTTTTCACACAGTTAATTTCTGACCCTCTCCAAAAGCATGTTAACTGCACTAGTTATTAGTCACTAGTTTGCATTTTGATAATCATTATAATTGCACTTCGCTTGATTTCTCTTGCACCACGGCTAGTCGCTGTATTACTGCATTAGTATTGACCGGTTTTGCTGATGTGTCTGTTTCATGACTAATGGAAACACACTTGAGTCAGAGTGCCTCAAGCCTGCTAAACATGTTTGAGCGTGACATTATTGTTTTATTCGGACCTTTAATGAAAAGAAATGGCTTGGAGCAGTGGTCTGCGGGATGAAGATAAGGATACATTGGCTTTTGTGAATTTTTCCTTGACTTTGCTTCAGTACAGAAAAATTGATTTCGTTGAAAGGCAGACAGAAATGGATTTCAAAGCTCTGTTTGTAACAAAGTCAGGTTAATTGAGGTATAATCCAATTAAAGGACACCGCCAAAGCAGCATCAGACAGGAAGTAGTTGATTGGCATGCAGAGTATGAAGTCACACTTTTCTGAATCCAGAAGTCACTCCTAATATTTCAAGGTAGTGATAGCCAGAGCAACAGATTCATTTAACCATAAATCTAACAAATCTGAGTGAGGTTTATGGTTAAAAAATGAAAATAAAGCGCTCTATCCAGGCGTGATGTAAATGCTGTTGTCACAACCTGAATGCAGTTCCATGCTGTCAGTTTTTGGTTCCCTGAATGTTCTGGGAATATTTATTAAATAAAATGTAAAAATAGCAATTAGAGAAAATTCTGTATAGCTTTTTAGTAAAACCTCCTGGCAAAGTTTTGGCTGCAGAAAATTAGAACAGAGGCACAGAAACCACTTTTAGCGGCACTGAATACTGTATTCAACTATATTAGATGCTTTGATATGCTTCAAAATGAACAATTCTGCTAGTTGGGTCTCTACAGACTGTCGGATGGCATGCTTCCACACCAAATGGAGAAATCCTCAAAGCTCTTTGGCTGAGTGGTTGGCAGTAGACTGGTTGAGGTGGCGTTTGATTATTCATCTGTTTTGGCTTATGATTCTGTACTAATTCCAGACATTTCTGGCTTGGAAGAGCTTTTTTCGAAGCTTTTAGAAGTTTTTGATTCTCTCGAATAGGAATGAATAAAGATGTGATGGTTCTGCTGGCATGATATGTACAGCATGGAGCTGTAATGGGTTTTACGGGGATAGTTCAACCAAAACTATAATTATGAATCCAGTCAACTAACACAGTAGTATATGGATTCAGTGGTCACTTTACCGCTGTAAATACAACTCTGTCTGGGTTTTTTGGGGTGTGATGCTGTAAAAGAAAACATCAGAGGTGCTTATTGTAACTTTAAATCCTTTCAAATGTTTCACCATAAAGCTGTGAGTAATACCCATATTTCTTCCAGGGCAGCACAACTATCTCTGCGCTGGAAGGAATGATTGCATCATCGACAAGATAAGAAGGAAAAACTGCCCGGCATGCCGCTTTCGCAAGTGTCTTCAGGCCGGCATGAACTTGGAAGGTGAGGATGTTCTGATAGTTTGACGAGTGGTTTGTTTGAGTGATTTTTATGACCTTTATATGCCACTGCACAGGGGTGCAAACCAGTATGCAATTAGGAATGGCAGTCAAGAGGATTTTATAATTTATCAAACAACTGAGTTTTTTTAATGTGGATTACTGATTCAACAAATCACTTTGCTTTTTCCTTATGCTGTGTGCATTTTTTTCCAGTCCACGTCCTTAAAGGAACACTCAACTATTTTTGAAAATAGGCTCATTTTCCAACTCCCCTAGAGTTAAACAGTTGAGTTTTACCGTTTTCGAATCCATTCAGCCGATCTCCGGGTCTGGCGGTAGCACTTTTAGCTTAGCTTAGCATAGATCATTGAATCTGATTAGACCGTTAGCATCTCGCTCAAAAATGACCAAAGAGTTTCAATATTTTTCCTATTTAAAACTTGACGCTTACTATACTCTCATTCCGGCGTAATAATCAAGGAACTTTTCTGCCGTACCATGGGTGCAGCAGGCGCAATGATATTATGCAGCACCTGACTTGATTATTATGCCAGAATGAGAGTATAGTTCCTAGCCATATCGGCCTAGAAAAACACAACTTTTCATTTTCCGTCAGTCTTAGTACACGATGTAACTACAGAAGAGTCAAGTTTTAAATAGGAAAAATATTGAAACTCTGGTCATTTTTGAGCGAGATGCTAACGGTCTAATCAGATTCAATGATCTATGCTAAGCTACAGCTAAAAGTGCTACCACCAGACCCGGAGATCAGCTGAATGGATTCGAAAACGGTAAAACTCAACTGTTTAACTATTTTCAAAAATAGTTGAGTGTTCCTTTTAAGTAGGTGGTGGAAACATGGCGAGACCAAGAACTGTTTGTGCAGATTTTCCTTCATGCACAAAAGGTATAAAATGGCCAGAAGCTTTAAGAACATGCAGAAGTGCCTCTTTGACAGTGTGCTGATGTACTTCACAGTTATTGGACAGAACTCATCCATCTCTGTGCAAGGCTTTAAAATTGTGGCTGATTTATTTGCGTGAAAAAAAAAAAAAGACCTTGATGCAGTAGCTGCAAACTAAATCTGGGGTTCTGCCAGAGAGGCTTTTAGTTGCCATAGAAACATTTATGGCAGAAAAAAAAATTAGACAATGACATTGATGGTAAGCTCTCAGAACAGCTGAGTGATTTTACGCGAGAAAACCTTCGAGAGGCATTCACACATCAAAACACAGAGGCGTATGTAACCCTGGTCATTAATATTTATAGGTAGTAATTTGTTGTTTATATTGCTGTAATATGAATAGTAATATTAATAATAGAAAAGCAATGTAAAATGTATTTATTTTACTATGAATCAGAAACATATAAATGTGTGTGTGTGTGTGTGTATATATATATATACCAAATAAGTCAAACCAAAAATTATTCAGACACCAGATATAATTTTTTAAATATTTTTTTACTAGTGGGTGCAGGACACTATAGTTCATTTATGTAAGTGAGGATAGCAAAATAAAGTAAACTGAGACATACCCAAAAATTCTTTATACTGTGGACTACCAGTAAAATTGATACATATCTGGGAGCAAAAATTATTCAGACACTTTGACCTGACCATGTTTTGCTTAATTGTTATCTTACATTATCAAGATGAATTTGTTCAGACACAGTTTAACTCGGAGTTCTTGTCATATGTGACCCTGGACCACAAAACCAGTCAGGGTAAATTTTTGCTGAATAAATAAGCTTTACATTGATGTATGGTTTAGGGATGCTCCGATCCGCCTTTTTCGCCTCCGATACCGATTCCAATACCTAGGGTTCGGTATTGGCCGATACAGATACCGATCCGATACCAGTGAAGTTTTTTTCCCTCATTTAAATAAATGTAGAATTTATATATCTCTGTGTGTGGAACTGATAATCATTCTTTCACAATCTACTAGATACAGACTACTTCATTATAAAGAAAAATAAAATAAACAAATAT